ATTGTTGCCATAGCAACGGCAGTTAGCAGTATTTTTTAAAAATTCCGAACTTCTTAGTTATTGTGTTATACCGGTCAGATACTCTTTGTTTTTAAACAAATAATGAAACTTTGCAGAAATTCATATCCAACTCAGAGAATTTTTAAATTTTAAAAAAGCGTCGCCAGCCACCTTAAGAAACTGTATAGTAATTTTAGTAGTTCATGCATGTATTATGTTCTAACACTTAGTACATATTTTTAACACTTAATATTAAGTGCTATTGAGCTATGGAAAATGGCGCTATATAAATTAATTATAATAAAATTATATTATTAATAAAACGTATCGCGCGTGAAGTTAGCGGGTATCATGTGTGTTGAGACAGAATCGTGTTCTCTGCTTTGTGCTTCTTTAATTTATGGACTGATTTTCAACAACATAAATTTGATGATATTATTTGCTTTATTATAAAGGGAGGCAAGTTTTGATAAATCATATTGTGCTTTTCTACAAACTGCGATCGTGGTTTATTGAGTCTTTCAATAATTGATTGCGAGATTGTAATCAGTCAACTTGCATAGACACGAATGATCAAGACGAGAGGGAGAATATATAATTTCGAAATGATACTGAGCCATGATACTATATCTATATAATTGATACGTATACTATAACCACTTATTATAAGTATATCATGAACACTAAAACTATAAATACCAATTATTAATAATTTTTGAAACAATTTTTTAAAATATTTGAAGTGCTTTTGGTAACGTTTCAAGCACCGATTACGAGGTTTAAACACTCAAAACAGCTATAAAATTATGACTCTCGAGAATGTACTTTTGAAATGCACTTTTCAAAGATTTCTTTGTTCACGCACACACCATTGGTGCCATCAAATATTTAATATACAATAACTTTGAATATAATTATAACATTTTAATTCTAACATTTCATCATCTTAACTCGTCCTAGTTGCGTGTTAAAATTTACGTGCAGGTTGATCGTGATACCTCCCACTCTGGCTAATGCTATCACTCTTAATCTTGTTATGTATTTCCTGAAAGATGTGACACTGTGTTGGGAGTTCAATTATTGAATTTCAAATTTTCAATGAATGCAGTTATATTATATTGAAAAGAATATATACGGAATACATATATAACATGCCGTGATTATAATAAAACAGCAATATACAAGAGATGTGCATCATTGGTATAGTGATGCACAGATATGGAAATTCACCGACATTCCGATAAACGATATTGAAGGACCAATATTTTGCCGATACCGATATTCTATGTCTTTAACAAAATTCAAAGTGACATTTTGAACTGCAACTATAACAAATCATTAATATTTAATTAACAGTTTGTAATAGCGCGGTAATATCAACAACAACATTTCCGATACCGATATTTCCATTTTAATACCCATAAGCCGATACCAACACATCGATATGGATATCGGTGCATCACCAATCATTAGCACACGATTGCACACTACTGGCATCGTATAATTATATAACTGCTAATTCAGTTCCAAAGATAAATTTAAAGGCCAGAATATATGACTTTCAAACAAGACGTAGCCTACAGTATATGTATTGATTAAAACGTCTTCAAACTGAACATTTATAGGCTAAATCATTTAAAACCAATATGTATCTACATGACCGCCAACAGCGCGTCACAACTCTTGGCGCTACTTCTTCCCAGAAACCAGTGTGCTCCGGTGTTCCGCAAGGCAGTATCTTAGGACCTATACTCTTCCTCTTGTATGTGCCGGAATGACTTACCAGACGCTGAGACAAACTCGACAGTTGCGTGTTTTGCAGATGACACCAAAATCTTCCGTAGAATTGACTCCATCACCGATGCTATGTTATACTCCAGGACGACATCAATAACCTTCAATCCTGGTCCATGTCAAGCGGTCTCGTGTTTAACGAAGGAAAATGCAAAAGTATTAGTATTACCAGACGTGGTCAACCAATCCATCATCTATATAGCATCAAAGGCAAAGAACTTGCACTTATACCAGCAGAGAAGGATCTGGGAATTTGGATTGCGAGCGATCTAACCTGGTCTAAACATATTTTAGACCGATGTGCCCGGGGCAACAAACTCCTTGGATTTATAAAGCGATGTTCTGGGGAAATAAGCGACGCGAGGACCCGCAGGACTCTGTATCTGTCTTTGGTTCGGTCGGGTTTTGGTTACTCGAGCCAGGTTTGGTCGCCTCAAACCATGACCCTCATCCAACGTATGGAACGGGTCCAAAGAAGGGCAACGAAGTACATTTTAAACCTTCCGTACTTCTGCAGTGAGACTTATCGGGAACGACTTGCCAGTTTGGGCCTCTTACCGCTATCTTACTGGCATGAATACTTGGATCTCAAGTTCTCTTTCAAAGCGGTGAACGGCTTGGTCGACGTGTCCCATGACGTCCTCCCCGAAGTCATGTCCCAAATCAGAACGACCAGATCCTCCAGTGGCAACCAAATCTCCTTCCGTCCGGCCAAATGCAAAACCTCTACCTACCAACGCTCCTTCTTCATTCGTGCATCCAGATCTTGAAACTCTTTACCAACTACACTAAGATCTCCTGACATTAATATTAGGCAATTCAAAACTGATTTACAAACTTACTACCTGACAGCCCTGAGAGAATGCTTCAACGAAGATCCGAGGACATGGAAGACTATATGCCTGAAGTGTATGTAACACTAGCCGTTACTTACGTTCTGAACTAACTTGTTGTTTTTAGACTCTCGTCCATGTACTGTATGTTATATGTTCTGCACTGGATGTGTATTTTTGTATAGGGCCCACAGTAATTATTGGTTTACACTGTTGTGGTGTCCCTGCCATTTTTGTCCATGTTTATTGTCTAGATGTCTATTTGCTGTTCTGTTACGAGTTTTTGGCAGGTTTAATAAATAAATAAATAAATATGTAGAAGAGTATGATCAGTATATATGTTATAAGATTTGGTTTCGTTGGTTATAAAAACTTTTGGCAAAGTGCTCAATGGGAAACCAGAGCATATTTATATTAAGGTAAAACAAATCAACAAAATTCCCTAGGCATCTTTATTACTAAATAGTTTCGTACCACAGTATGTGGCACTCTTCAGATAAATTGACCTAATGACTATATTGACTAAAATCTACAAGGTTATATGTACAAGTGGATGAGACTTGAAATTTAATCCTATTCAACAAAGCACGCGATTTAATTAACATGTTATGTAAGTCCGTTCTGCGCATCGGTTCTGCTCACAACAATGTGAGGATCTCTAATGTGAACATTGTCCAAATTTCGAATGTTTCGAATTTTTCTGAACATAAACTCTATTTCATATTCATTTAGAAGCATAGCGAACCAAAATGGTGTTAGATATTCAGACAGTACATCATATTTTAAAAAATACAGTAGTTCAAAATGTAAACAAACCGTTTGTTTACATTACGGACTTGACTTTCACTTTAAATGTCTAGCTTTTAAAGGGATACGGCAATATATTTTTTTATTACTTCATTTGAAAGAACTTTTAAAATTATATGTTAATCTCTTTAACCGATTTTTCGTAACTTTATAGTACTTCATGTAAGTCAATGTTTGGAAAATATAGGCGCGGGTTCCTGCATGCATGTATTTCTAGTTATATCATGTAATCCACAAGGTTCTACAACTGTCTGTGTCAGTGTTGGTATAGTGTCAACAATAATTAACAAGCTTTCGTTCGTATGGATGCAACTACCTCAAAATATAAGGAGAACTTCGACGTTTCGAGCGAAGCCCCTTTAAACTTACTGAGTAACTCCAGACGAAGGGCCTGCGCACGAAACGTCGAAATTCTCCTTATATGTTCAGGTAGTTGCATCCCCACCCGACGAAAGCTTGTTAGAACTTACAAGGTGCTAGAAGCTCCTATATATTTGAAAACTTACTCTCTTGTCTCTGGCTTCTTGAGCGTTGCGAATTCATGTTGTTGACATATATAATACGGCAATACCGCCAGGCACTCAAATGCACGTGCACGGCTCCTGGTGTTATCATTTGGAACAGTTTGTCTCTCCTGAATATAAGTTATAAACCTTTTGCCGAACAGAATCAGGAATAAATAACGAATATCAAATTCATAATCTAAATAGCAAATATGTGCGCTGAGAATGGCCAGATTGTTTAGACTTTAGACTTCAGACGAAACCCACGCAATGTACTGGCAAGCTTGCAAATTGATTCTGTACCAATCAGAACACTGCGTGTATTAGTATCTCGTCGCTCATTGGCTCGTCTGTCGGTTAGTGCTAAATTAAATTTTATTTGAATGACACTTCGCCCGTTCGCCGTTGGTAATTTGAGAACCCTGGCATGGCGGCTGACAACGGTAGAAGCAGGAGTAGAGGTTATGCCAATACATGAACAGTTTTTATATTCGGAGTAAAACGTATTGACAATCAAGTTATAATTTTACAGCACGCGCTTACAGATTAATATTAAGTAAACATTCGACAATGTAACTAATTCTGAGTGCAAGGAGGAGTTATCGAAGACTGTGTTTTGGAAAAACACAAAACTAAAAAACCGTGTGAAAACTGAAAAGCGACACGCCGTTAGACGTAGAATATCTTACTATACTAGACGTTCCTATCGCAAGAGTGCTGCCTCACTCCCAAGGAATCAAAGGCAGCATGTGCACTTATGAGAGGCATTTACCCCCCTGATAATTATCAATACTAATCGTATAAAAGCCTCTGCGGAGGAGAGTCACAGGACAACCTTCTTTCAATCATTCAGACTAAACAACTGCTCTCCCACCATCTGGATTTGTAGCATTGCTGCGCGTTTTATGTGAAAATTTGGAAAATAGACAAATTGTAATGAGCTTGCATGGCAATCAAACGCAAATTGACTATTTCAGTTCACGTGTAACAATATTTTTTTGTTTTAATTAGCTAGTACGACGAATTCTTGCAAGCTAACCACGAATATTGCCAATTTTTATGTAGATGTCGCTGAAGCAAAAAGCATTGAATTTGTTGATGTTTATTTTGGTGTTTGCGCTATCAGAAGGAAACCGTAAGAATTATCGGTCACCTAACATACAAATATGTTTATAATATTCCAACAATGTGTCAATGTCGATGTAATTTTTAAATATCTAAGTTTGAAGTTATTTATTATCAGCTATTTATTTAAATTTTATGCCTTATAGAAAATCATAGTAAAATTGGATTTGACCACAACTTCTACTATGGCTCTGAGGGTGAAAGTGCAGAAATTTGCCTTGTAATTGAAAGATACGTGCAACGCATTACTGGCGTGTAGGGACACATTTTAATTTGCCTATTTGTTAAGACTTGACATGATTTGCCTAGCTGACCAATGGTTTTATCTTCCATTACAGCAAACCCCTCAGTATGAAGATTATATTAGCTGGGACTATTAAATAGAACTTAAGTTTTGTGTTGCAGTTAATGTTAATGTTGTATTTATAGCTACATGCATGCTATGATATAATTAGCCTGTAATACAACATTTACATCAATCATTTGGACAATATCCAATTAGGCCTACTAAAATATTTCATTTTGCAAAGGCACAAAGATTTGTTGATAAATAACATTTTTTTGATGCGTTAAGGATAACCACTGCGGATGGGACAGCAAGAAGAGGAGTGGATTACATCAATACTGTTCTGGCAATTCTGATAAATTCTTCAGAACCAGTATGCTATAATATAAACTTGCCGGATGATGATGATTCTGAAGTACTCGAAACGTTTACCGTTGTTTTCAAGACAAATGATACCAATGTTCAAATACTTCATAGCAATGCTACAGTTACTATTACTGATGATGATGGTAAATATATGTACTGCATATCTATCTATTTTTTAACTCTCAGACTTCCATTAAAGTAGATCTAGAGTATTATGTGATTGGTTACGAGCGATCGCGTGCTTCTTCTTCCGGCAACCCTGCAACAAAACCTGATTTCTTCAGTTTTCCGCGCGCCAAAACAGAAAAGAAGTGAAATAATATTATCTTAAACTAAAACATCTACCTGCATGTTCGAATACCAGAAGGTCTTTAATGAACCTCCGCAGTCATTAGACAACCCTTGCAAAAATTTGCATATGATTTCACTGTAAAAATGTATTTTCACGTCTAAACTGTTAATTTAAATTCCGAAAATAAGTTTTGAATATGAACCATTAGCTACTTTAATATGTGGAAGGGGGTTTTGTAATCATGCAAAGTTGCACATAAGATGAGAGTTTTGAGACGGATGTGAAGTTTCAGTTTCACCAATCTCATGCTTGTGTAATTTTATAAATCAAATGGCGAAATTTTCAATATTACCATAACTTTTAGAAGATCAAGACCCTATAGCTCTGTTACAATAATTGCCACGCATGTTGTTTCAGTAATGCTATACCCAAGGTTCAGTGACGAAGCTAGCCATGGCAACTGGTCGTATATGTTATATGCTAATAGACGTACACTTAGATAGGCTAAAGACAAATATATTTCTTTTTTGAGAATAATGAATTAAGCTTTAATTCACAAATACTAAATTTACAACGAGGGGCTTCATATATATAAAAAAGAGACTAATAAAAATAGGGATATTTACATTTCTAAAGGATTTCTAAATGTTTCACTAATATAAATAATGTAAAATTTACATACCATATACTTACATTTACACATTACATACCATATACCATATGCTAGCACACCACCGACAAGTTAATTTCCCATTGCGATGGCTCAATAAATAGTGCAAGTCAGTGTAGTAGGCTGTAATCGTAATTGATCATAATTAATTTAGTTTGTCCAAAGTACAGACATGCATATATTATTATAATAGAAGTGCTGCTAGCATTTTATTATCAGGCATAATATAATTTTTTGTATTATTCCAATTTTATCACATTTGGCGATTTTATCACCAATGTTTTTTACAATGACTCGTATTCAAGCACTAATTTTTACACATTCACGTTTCCAACTCATATGCCGATTTTCTGGTATATCTAGCAATACTATCTCAAATTTCGAGCAGGAATGTTGAGCCCAACACTTTTGTGAGCCTACTCAAAGTCTCATATACAAGTGCCTCCTAAACAGTATTATTCAACGTAAAATGTTGTGGCATTAGTTGAACTTACCAAACCATTAGTCAACTGTACAACTTTATTTGCATCTCCTTTACACCGGAAATGGTTAAGCAATCTATTTTTTAATAGAATCGGCATGCATATATGAAGCAAGGTTCAATTCTTGCACCCAATTTGTTTGTCAATTGTCTTTTATTTATAACCGCTCAAATTGTTAGAGGACTTCAAATCTCTTTCTCTCACTCGAAGTTAAGATATACGCCCGTATTCAAAAAGCTCACTCACACTCAATGAGTGGAAGTTCAATCCGAGCCTCTCTTGAATGCCAATGCTATTTTTGAATAGCTGGTGGGTGAGTAGTCAAATAGTAAGGTACGACACTAACCCTCCAGCTATTCAAAAGCAGCAATGATACTCGAGAGAAGCTCAGATTGAATTTCCACTGATTTAGTGTGGGTGTGAGTGTGAGTGAGCTTTTAGAATACGGGCGTTAAATTCTGATAATATGTGGACGAAATTTTCATTATATAAAAGTAGTGCCGGTTTGCAACTAGATTTGATTTCAGTCACCAAATTGACCACCCTAGACCACAGGCGGCCCAATCTCGCAAAGGTCAGTATAGACCAGTATAGTATAAATGTGTATTATAGTAAGGTATATTATAGTAAAAATATGTCATAAAATACAAATTTTAGGATGAAATTGACTTGCCTATTTGATGGTGTGTGTTCTCCTTGTATTCCTCCTTTGTTGGACTAATATTTTCCGAGACTTTGTACTCGATGGTACTAGTATACATGAAACTTGATAAAGGCTAACTATTTCCGATCGTCGATCCGACGGCACGGCACTTCGAATCGAAAATTCTCACACTCAAGTCGCTTTATTCTCCAAAAAAAATCGCCAGCATGTACAACAAATGCCGTTCTTCGAAAATACGGAGGTGCTTCGGCGAGATGTACAAGTTTTGGACCATATTTTAACAATGGAAATCAAAACCCATTTTATATTGAACTTGCCCAGACCGAAAATTACTAC